TGACATTAAAATTAATATCAATTTTTATATTTTTTATGTATATTTATAATAAAAAATACTCTTAAGTTCTAAAAGTACTAATTAAAAAAATCTTACTTTCAGTAATTAATAACACATATTTTTTTATTTTTACTAATTGTTATATTCATGTATTATATTTTTTATTTTAAAATAAATTAAAATAATAATAATTAGTTAAAATAAAAAATTATATTATTAATAATTAAGAATATAGCATTAACTCTACCATATTACTTCAGTGAATTGGTTTCCAGAGCTTAAAAAGACATAGGAGTTGAGACTCTACTCGTGATCTAATTAATGTTCACTTCTCTTTTACAAAGGTTTCTTATATTAAGTACGAACTTAGTTAAAGCTCACGCCCATTTTTCACACATGTAACTTATGTTTCATTATTTTCTTGAATACATGTCGAATCTATATTACTCTAAAACTTTAAAGTACCTCTTTTTTTCTTTTCTTTTTCTTTTTTTTTTTATTATTTTTTTTATTTCGCTAAGATTGCTTATATATGTATTTTGTTGTGTTGCTTCATTGAACTATGCTCTTGTTGAAATCCAAATCCCCAATTGAATTGAATCAATTGCAAAGAATTTTAGCAATAACCTCATCTATCTTAACACATGAATATGTATGTGCTTCAGCTTTAACTTTTGCTAATATTCCACTGTTACTGCTCTTGCTTGCCCATTGTGTACTTCCACTGCTCTCTCTTTGCTCTTGCTTCTCATTTCCCTTTTAAGTTTTAACATGCCTTTTTTTGAAGATCCTATACAAAGAGTTGCAGCCATTTTGGGGTTCAATTCCTCTTCTATGGTGGGTGGTGCCGCTTGTGGTGGTGTTGGTGTTGATGCTGATGCTGGTTGTTGCACTGGTGCTGTTAATGGTCAGTTCTCAAATGTGGATGAGAACAATCTCAAGATAGAAAAGGAAATCAGTTGCAGGAATCTTTATCTTCGAACTATTTCAGTAAAGTCATAACTAAACTACGCTCTGTTTAGTTTTGGTTTGAGTATATATAATGTTGAGACATTTATATATCATATATTGCTTTACAACATTGTAATTTACAAAATACGAAGCTCTGTGATATTTTCTTAGAAAAAGGGGTAATTTCAAGGTTAGTTACCTCTTGCAATATTGCAGTCATAGGCCTTTTTGTTTAAGTTAATTTTCTCCATCATCAAATTGATAATTTTTAGCTTGTTTGCGTTGAGAGTGGATAAATTGTGGTTATTATGGCTTGCGAGATGACACCTTTAAGTTTGTGTGTGCACTTCTGATCTCACTTTTCTTTGTTTGAAATGTAGTGCGAGCATGTTTTCCGAAGGAAAAGAGGAAAAAATCATCCTAAATGTATTCCCTACCATGACAAGCTTGAAAAGCGTTGCGGTATGGTGTTTGATTTATACATGGATGTCATTCTCTATTGTTTTCTTCTTGCATATTTACATTTAAGTTTATGGTATCATTTGTTTGTTTATCAAAATTGTAAATGATTACAAGCAGTTTGTCTCAAACTAGAAAAATATATGTCTATGTTAGAAGTGTTGTTTTGCATTGTAAATCTCCTCATTTAATGTGGTAGGTGTATTTAATAATTGGTTGGAGGTTGAGATTTGATGCTTAGATTACAAAATCCATTTGGAAGAAAATTGTATAGATACGTCAACACTTCAACAAACATGCATTAAATATAACTCTTTGCATTAAATATAACTTTTTGTACTGTTAAAGGGATACTAAGCAATGTAATCCCTCTTTTTATTTAAACTGCACTTATATGAAAAATTACACAAAGAAATGAAAGAGAGAAAAGGTGGAAAAACAAAAGTCCAGACCTTTATTTTCACAATTTGAGTTCTTGTTCTTTAATCTTCTTCATCCAAAAATCCATCATACATCTGTGTCTAAGATTGATTATGTGGCTTCTCCGAGAATATTTTAAGTAACTGAATGATTTCAACGTTTATTTATGAGTTATATTAATGATTCCTTAATCATATAATTGAAGATATTTATATGATTTTTGATTCACCTATTGCAGAGCAAAGTATTGGTTTTGTGATAGTTTGTCTCTTTTATCCATTCTTTTTTTGGGTCGTGGTGTACCATTTGATTCAACTACTGGGGACTGAAGTTATTGGTTTTTTTTTTTTTTTTATGGTTTTAGTCTCTTTTTTAGCATTTTTTGTGGGGTGGGGTGGGGGAGTATTTGTCTTTTTTTTTTTCTTTTTTTTTTCTTTTTGGCTATTGTGGGTTGGTTGACCACTAATAGCTAATATTGTTCATTCATTACACTTAGGATTGAAAAATGCATTGGTATTTTTCTTTAGCTACAATTAGTTTCTTTTAACTTTTATTTATAATCCAGTCTTTTAATCTCTTCTATCTCCAACTTTTTTCTTTTGTGCATTCCTAACAGGTGAATATAGAACTATTGGGTATAGTTGGTGGACAAAGGAGAACGATGAAGATTATTGTTGGTTGCTATTGTGACGATATAAACTGATAAACTTGCTTTCATGAATACTGTTGTCTAAAAGTTATTACAAACCTCCAAGAAATTGTAGGGAAGTTTACTAATCAATTTCTCTTGATCAGCTGAATGCTAGTTGTGCTTTTCCTCTTTCTTGAGTATTCAGGACATACAGGTGAAAGTGAAAGATTAAAATCACATTAATTGTTTATGTAGCACTTAACAAGTTGAATTAAAGATATTATGTGAAATCAACAAAACTGTAAAAATAAGTCACACTCATTAACCTCATATGTAAGATGGGTTCTCCATTAGTTAATATTGTGTAGATTAGTTCTAAAATCTGTTCTTTCAAGTTTGATTGTAAACCCCCGTATTTATATATTTTGAAAGTATTATGTAGCATCAATTTATCAAGTCACCCTTAACTAGTGCTTGCGTCATATATATGTCCTCTATTTCAAATTATAGAGGTGTGTTTGGTGACTATGGCTACATGCTTGTAACAGAAAATAGGGTCAGTTATCACTCTCATCTTGTTTTGCTTTCTACTTTGAATGAATTGGCATATGTAGGGTGTGGTTTTCTTCCTAGTAAATAAACTTTTTCAAGGATTTATTTTTAATTTATTTCTGCTTGCATGTAGAGAGCAAAGCAAATCTTACGAAGAAAATGTTTTCAAAGTGAAATGGAAATATGGCATCTATAATTTTGTTCGTATAATTTTTAAGTTCCTGTTTGTGTGAAATGCAGTTGTCACAAGTCACAACGTGAGGAGCTTGCAGAAGGGATATTGGAGCTTGGAAGCAAACGCTATCGTGCACTCTTTGATCACTTTGGTAGATAATCGGCTGCTGTTCCCTTAGAAATTTTATATCAGTCCAATTAGAATTTCTATTTAAGAGTTAAAAGAAGTAACTAGCAGTAAAATTAGGCTTAATAATTTTAAAAAATAAGAATAAAAGAGTGAGATAATATCTTTATATTAAAAGTTAAGGATTAAGTTTGGTATTTTTCCTATTTTATTTATTGACGATTTCGTTGACACAGGAAATGAACTTACCACAACCTTCAACCATGCATGGAATCTTATGAATGGAAAACAAGTCTATATGAGAAATGGTCCATCTGTCCTAAACTGGGATTGTTAAGAACTTGATAAATTTTATTGGGCTAATACAATACACCTAATCTAAACTCTAAAATAGAACAGTAAGAAAGTAAGGATTAGGCTTAAGGCCCAAGCATGTAACAACATGGGAAGAGTTTCTAGTTTTTTGCACCACTTTTTGACGCAGGGTGGAACCAGTTAGGATAGGGGAATGTCCAAACCCAAGGCACAAGAGCACCCAGGCCGCCCCACCACAACCCACCCCCCCCCCCCCTCCCCTAAATGAGGGGGTGAGAATTGAGTTTGGTATACACGTTCTTTGTAAGTATTTTACTCATTTTGATAAATATTATATTTGAATGATAGAAAAAATAGGTAAGTAATATGTATAAAAATAATATATTTTTAAATATTAAGTTAGGTAATAAATATATGGGTTCAAAACTTGTGTAATTAACATATTACCTATATATATTTGTATAATTATAAGTTTATATGTATTTATTATATTTAATATTTGTATAATAATGATAAAAAAATAAAAGTTAAATAAGGCCTATTAACCAAACAAATTACACACATAGAAATTATAACTCATATAAATAATAAATTTTAAACCAAAAATATAATACAAACAATAATAACATTTTAAATTAGACATTTTCTTTCCTTAAATCAAGTACATAAATATATACTTATAAATTACGTGGTACCATTGGATTAAGTATTAGATATAGATTTTTGAGTATTTAGATAGATATCATGTCTAAAAAACTGTACTTAAAAACTTTTAAGTCAAGTATAGAGTATAAGTTATATCCAACCTCTACCAAAAACGCTAACCCTTAACTCTAGGGGCTAAAAACAACTTTTTAACCTCTCATCTTATAAAATTAATAGGTTTTAACTCCTAATCTTATAATATGACACTTTTAACTCTTTATCTTACAAAATTGATGGTTTTAATCCCTCACTTTATAAAATTGATAAATTTTAGCCATTCACCTTATATTATGACACTTTTAGCCCCTTATCTATACGAATTGAAGAAAATAACCCATATTTAATATCAAGTTATAATGTTTTATTAGTTCTGTTAATTGACTGTTAATTTTGTTAGTTGACTGCTAGTTTTGTTAGTTGACTGCTAGTATCCATTAACATTCCGTTAATAAAACTAACAAATAAAATTAAATTTAAATTTCATGTTTTTTTATAATATAATGCTAATGGATGTTAACAGTTAACTAATAAAACTAACAAAATGTTATAACCTGATATTAGGTGAGGGTTATTTTCTTTAATTTGTATTAATGGGGGGCTAAAAATATCATAATATAAGGTAAAGGATTAAAACTTACCAACTTTGCAAGATGATGGGCTAAAATTACTAACTTTGTAAGATAAAGGGTTAAAACTCTTATATTATAAGGTAATGGGTTAAAACCTACCAATTTTATAAGGAAAGGGGTTAAATGTTGGTTTTTGCTTAACTCCAGGCACTTAAATCGAAAGAACTTATGACTTGTTTGGTTGGTAATAATTTATTTTTTCAGTTATTAAATTATAAAAAAAATATTTTGATATTAAAAATATCAATATATTTAATAATAATTATATAATAAATTCAATAAAATTAGATCTCTCGATATCTAATAATTATATTGAATTCAACTAATTTAATATCGAGTAATATCAGATCTTATTTAAAATTTTTTTTTCAATATTTATTATTTTATTTACAATAATCAAACTTAAAGTTTTATTTAAGGAACTGAAGTCTTAATTTTAAATAGTTATCATCGTCGCCAACACATGAGCTTGCCACCTAGGACTTAGGTGCACCCTATAACTTTGGGTTTCTAATCCGTTTCTATTTACGTTTATAGTGCAATCAACCTGTTTTTCCAATAAGGTTAAATATCTAATGTGGTGTCTCAACTTTCATTTTTAAACTCAATATATTCTTGGACTTTAACAAGTGCTAAAAATATCTTTAAATTTCTATTTTTGATATTAATTTAGTCTTTCTATCAATTAAATGATAATGTGGTAAATTTTTTCGTAAACTAATTCAATTTTTTAATTTTTAAATATGAAGTAAAAATTTAGATAGCGGATGTGTACAATTTTTGTGGGTGCATATGATAAACATTAGTTAATTAATTTTAAATAACCTTAAATGACATATTTATTCTTAATTTAATTGGCTCAGAACTTGAAATATTTGAAATTACAAAAGTGTCCTTCCCTTCATTTTCTTCCTGAATTTCTCATTTCTTCTCCAGTTCACCTTCCTCTTGCTTTCTTCCCCTTCTCCCTCCATTCTCCATTGCCAGCAATATCTTCTTTCCTTCTTCTTCTCCAACATTAGCGTCCCTCTCCATTCTATCTTTCTCATTCTCTTTTTTGGATTTCTCTCTCTTCAATTCTCTATCCCTCAGTCAAACATCAAAATCCCTCTTTTTTCTAGCCTAGATAAAGCTGACAAACCAAAAGCACCCGACCACCTTCACCGTCAGAGTCACGCTCGTTCTATAGACTTCTCCCACCCAGTGGCCCATGCCTTGGGAGGCTCTAGCTCCAAATTTGTTCCTAGATTCATAGCGCTTTAGATTCGAAGGTAATCTCACTTTCTATGCTTCTATAGCTTCAAATTCGAACCATGTCAATATTGAATTCCCTTTTTTTCTAAAAAAAAAATTATTGGGTATTTACTAGAACCGATCAAAATTTTAGGGAAAAAAAATGTTATATGAATTGTTGGTACCGAGTACATCAGCATTTAGTTTCAGTTTGATTTTACTAATCTATAGGACTTGGCTTTAACTCAGCAGCAAATTCGTCCTTTAGGTCATTATTTCAATTTTTATGGGTTGTTGCTTGCTTAGAAAGTGCAGGAAAATGAAGAGAAAATTTTTTGTTTAAATTTACATTTTTTTAGTTCTTGTAATCTGTTTGTTTTTGTGGGGGATTTCTATAGATTCTATTTTTACTTGATTTATTACTTGATTAGTTTATTGGAGGAGAGAATTGTAACCAGAGAAGAAGAGTAAAATTGCTAGAGAAAGAGACGAAGGGAAGAGATGTTCGGGGAAGAAGATGGAGGAGAGAGAAAGATAAAGATATTTTTGGATTGAAGTTGGTTATTAAGTGGAATCTGAATGGAGGTGTTACAGTGGAAAAAAAAAATATTTTATTAAAATTTAAGAAAGGGGTTGACATGTATTTTATTATTATATTTATTTAATATTATATATTATATAATTATAAGTTTATTATTTTAAGTGATACTATCTTTTATATTTAACTTT